TTTGTACACAATAACAGCCATGTTGTGTGACGACTAGTATTGATAAACTTAACCCTTCTCAGCATTACAAGGATCTAAGACATCCCCAGAGGCCTCGGGATGGAAAATGCCATCCACATCCAAAGAAAGAACTATGGAAGTTGAATCGCTATCATTTTTTTTCTCTTCTGTTGAGTTTTGTTTCCTCCTTCTGATGGTTCCTCCTATTGGTTTTAATTTTCACTTACAACTGCACTAATGTGAAAATATGTTTAATAGGAATTTAAATGTATAGCCTATATGAGATTGTGCACCATCTTGGGGAGGGTGGTAGGGAGGAAGGGGGAGAAAAATTTTAAATTCAAAAGCATATGGAAGTGATTGTTGATAAATCGAAATAAATTAATAAAATTTAAAAAAAAGAGGTGATTCCTGCACTTTGAAGGAGTTTTATCTAGACAAGCCTGGGCATCCTTCCCACCCTGAGAGTCTGGGAATGAGAGCCCCACATCCATCCCCACAAGCAGAAGGGCTAGTTAGGGTCAGTGCCAAGTCAGCTAGTGAGAGATTCTATCCTTTCTTCCTAGCTCTGGTAGGAAATGGTCTCCTAAGGTTTCATAGGTTTAGAGCTGGGAGGGACTGGATGGGTCATCTAGTGCAACTCCTTCATTTGATAGAGGAAGAAACTGAGGACTGGAGTAAGTAAATTGTCCAAGGTCAGTTAGGTCAAAACAGAGTCAAGATTTGAACCCATTTTCTCTGACTCCAAATCCTATGCTTCTTATGCTCCTGCTATAACTCCAGCTTCTCATCTCTCCTGACTAGGTGTTTGGCAGCTTTATGGGTGCTTAGAGATGCTCTCCTTTAAGTATATCCTATGAGAAGAAGCCTCTGTCCACCTTAGTTCCCTTATCTCTGTGCCCAGCTTCCTAGGAGAGGGACTGTGACAAGAGATGACATGTAACTTATTCCTTCCCTCCTTTCTCTGACTTGCAGGAATCTGTAACTAAGAACAGCTATTTAGCTATAGAAATACCTCTCTCTGTCTCATTCCATCGATTAGATCATGGCCTATGAGAATTGGAGTCATGTCTTACCCACAGATTCTTAACCCCTGGTCCATTGGAGTTAAGGGGTGCATTGGCCCATGAATCAATTTCGGGGGCAGGTCCATCAACTTGAATGGGGAAAAGACCTTTTTTTTTGGTAATCCTATGTAATCCTTTACTTTTTCAGTAATCGTTTGCAATCCTGTGTGTTTTATTTTATGCATTTAAAAACGTTATTATGGGATGGGGTCCACAGGCTTCACTAGACTGCCAGAGGAATCCATAACACAAGAAGGTTAAGAGCCCCAATCTTGTTGTCTTCTCTTTGCCCCCAACCATATCTAACAGAGAACTGTGCATGCAGTGAGTGTTTAACAAGTGGTTGTTGAATGAATAAGTGCGGGAACTAGGTGGCGCAGTGGATAGAGCACTGGCCTTGGAGTCAGGAGGACCTGAGTTCAAATGTGGTCTCAGACGCATAATACTTCCTAGCTGTGTGACTCTGGACAAGTCACTTAACCCCAATTACCTCACTTAAAAAAAAACATGAATAAGTGAGCCAGCTGGAGCATCCTCCCTCCCCAGCAGTGATGGAAATCTCTGCCTTGCCTACAAGTTGGACTAGAAGCCTTCTGAGGTCCTTCCAGTTTTATGACACTGTGTGAATATGGGATTTGGAGGCAGAGGACTTGGCTTCATATTCTATTTCTCACACTTAACTAGCCCTGTGATCTTGAGAGCAGCTCCCTTCCTGTCTTAGAGCCTCAATTTTTTCCTCTGAAGGGGTTAATAGGTCCCTTCCTAAGGTCCCTTCCAATTCCTAGTATTCTATGCTCCCACTTAGGATTTTCCAGAGAAGAGAACCATGTCAAGGATTCCCATCTATAGACCCATGGCTGCTAGGTTGTACATGGGATAAGCACGCTGGGCTTGAAATCAGAGAGACCTGAATTCAAATCCTGCCTCATATACTTACTTGCTGGGTTAGTTACTTAAGTTCTTTCTGAGGCCTCAGTTTCCTCATCTGTAAAATGTCTTTAATGGCATCTACATTATAGAGTTGTTATGAGGATTAAATAATATAAGTAATTTTGCAAACCTCAAAGCACTATGTAAATGTTGTTATTGCTATTATTATCATTATTGTTATAAACCTATAAATGCTCATAGGCACTGAGTGGTCCCAGAAATTTTTATAAAAAAATGCAGAGAACTCATGATGAAAAATGCTATCCACATCCAGAGAAAGAACTGATGGAGCTTGAATGCAGATCAAAGCATACAATTTTCATTTAATTTTTTTGTGGGGGTTTTTTTTGGTCTCTGTCTTCTTTCACAACATGACTAATATGGAAATATGTTTTGCATGATTGCATATGTATAACCTATATAAAATTTCTTATTGTCTCTGGGAGTAGGGAGGCAAGGAAGGGAGGAAGAAAATTTGGAACTCAAATTTTTTTTTGAAAAAAAAGAATGTTAAAATTATCTTTACACGTAATTAGGAAAAAATAAACTATTAATTTTAAAAGAGAAACTGCTATAAAGGTACCAAATGCTATCCTCACAGCCCTGGAAATGTATTAACCACATGTGTTGAAGAACCTGTGGTTTTCTTAATGGTGTCTCCCTCTATTTATGTGTGTGTGTGTGTGTGTATGTGTGTGTGTGTGTGTGTGTGTGTGTGTGTGTGTGTGTATTTATGTATGTAAGCAGAGTCGTAAGCTGGAATTCTGACATCTAGAACAAATTCTATAGGAAATGATGGCCTGGAAGGTATTCCTATGAAGTCAAATTGGAATTTGCAAATGGAACACGCAGGATAGACATTATGAAATCTGTGCTGAGAGTTCCACCAAAATGTCAATCCACTCACCATGACATTTTTATTTCAATGATAATTGCTAGCTGAATTTACCTCTTTCAACTTGACCACTGAGCTATTTTTCTTTTATTGAAAGCCCCTAAAACCAGGAATTCTGGTACATAAATTCATTGGAGGACTGTCTGGATGGAGAAAAGCAAACCTTGTCCTGAGGCACCCCCTATCCACAGAAGGATAGCAGCCATGCAACTTGCTGGCATGCCAGGTATACCCTGGGTTTCGGGGGTGGCACGATTGCCCTTCTGGCTGAGTGGAAGTAATGTCCAAACAAATTATAGCCCAATAAATGTCATGGACTATGATTGCCCTGGAAGAAATGACGAAAGGGTCAGAGAAACCTGGGAAGATTTATATGAACAGATCGAAGATGAAGTGAATAGAACCACAAGTATTTATATTTTACACAACAGTGTAAAGATAAAGAGCTTAGAAAGACATTAAGAACTCTGATCAGGGCAGTCACCACCCAGAGTACCAGGGATGAAGAGTACTATCCATCTCCTCAGAGAGGTGACAGGCTCAAGGTGCACATTGAGACATTTGGTCAGTGTGGAGTTTTGTTTTGCTTGATTCTGCATGTTTGTTACAAGGGTTTTTTTGGTTTTGATTTTCAGTGGTGGATGGGAGCATTGGTGGAAAGGAGAGAAATTCAAATGCTTGTTAAATAAAAGGTTGTTTGTGGGGTTTTTTTTTAAAGGAATAAACGCACTCCCTGGAGATGTGAGAATCTTGATGGGTTAGCCCCAACTTTGCTACTGGAAGGTGGCCTGTCTCCTGGCTGTGTGGGTAGGATGGTGATAGGTCAGTGGAGATAGGAGTCAGAGGATGCTGGGCACTGGAAGTCAGGCTCTGGTGCAGCTGTGCCTGGTCTGGAGCCAGCTCTCAACCTGTGAAACTAGGGAATCTAAGGGGACCAATTGCTTCCGTATCAGTCCCAGACTGAAACAGCATGTTGCTGCTCTCCATCTGACTTGACCTTGACTCTACCTACTCCTGCTCAGAGCTGAGGTCTTGGGGAGCCCATGATGCTGCCCTGAGGGGGCGAGTAACTCAGACATGGAAGAGAATTCAAGGAAGGGAGGTGGTGAGGAGGAATCTCTTCACAGGCTCAGTGTCAGTGCTGCAGGGAATCTTCCTTCCTTGGGCTGTATAGCCCAAGTCTCATCTTACTGGCCCAGAGAAGGAAAGCAGCTTGTCTAAGGTGACACAGCCTTGTAAGGGAGAAAACTAGAGCTGGTAGAAAGGGTAGCCTTGTTGAAGGTGGAAGATCACGGTGCGAGGCAGCGCCAGGTGAAGTGTAATGTGAGGCTTGGGGGAAGGTCAGAGGAAGGGGCCGGTCATGGAAGGGAAAGGTCATAGGAGGTTAAAACCATGAAGGCCTGGTGGACAGGTCACAACAAGAGGGTGGTGGGAAGTTGATTTGGAGGTCCCAGTGGGAGCCTGAGGAGGTAGCCCCAGTAAAAGGCAGGTTGAGAGAGAAAGCAGCTGGGGAATCTTAATGGAAAGATGAATGGAAGGGGCCAGATGGGAGGCTGCCAAGGAATAGGGGGATGTGTTTGAGCAAGGGTGATGTGAAGCTGGTGGGCAAGGAAAAGCCCTTAGAAGACAGGAATAAGTGGATGCTCATGTCCCAGAGGTAGGTCACAGTGGGAAAGGGAGATCAGGGTTGTTGAGGGTTGATATGAAGCTAAGGGTTGGGGGAATCACAGATTGGAAGGGTCTTGGCACCAATGTATGCAATGTCCTCTGGTTTCCTCAACTCAGGCTACTCCAGTGGTGCATAATTGTTAGCCAGTTTGTCTTCTAGGGGTGAGAAAATAGTGCTTATCTGGTCAATTAGCCCTACCCATTGTGTTCAGGACCAGTGTGGATGCTGGGCTTTTCCTTCATCCATCCTCCAAGCTCAGCTTCCTTGCCTTTGGGGACAGGGCAGATGAGAACCTGGCAGACTGCCAGAGAGGAGTGATGACCCTTGAGGAGGTGCAATGGACCCTAGGCCCTAGGGGAGGGTTTTCTCTCTCCGCAGTTGAGGAGTCACCCACACCAGGGCAAATGGTAAGAAAGAGGTAGAGTCGGTATTCTGGCCAATCCAGAATGAGCAAGGCCCAGTGTTTATTCCAGCCCAAGCCCAGCCCACACCAGGATTGTGGCCAGGGCCAGGGGCCAAGGTGTTTGGGTTCACTCTGCTACATTTTTATCGCAGTCTATTATTAATTTTCCTCAGGTCTAGGTGGGAGAGGTAAGAGCTGACGGTTTGCCTTTGGACTTCATAATCTCCTTCATTTTTCCTCAGGCCCATGATAACCTGTACAGGGTTGAGGGATGGAGGACAGTCAGGAGTTATGGGGACATGAGCCTTGCTGAGAGCCTCTTGTGTATAGCTATGGACCCAGATTTGCTCCCCAGAGAGGGCATGAAGGCAGCTCTGGTGAATCCCAGGAGCACAGCCAGGAACCAAGGGTATTAGAACTGGTCTTCCTGGCTGGCTTTGTACATTTCTTCCCAGCCCTTATCCCAAAACCTAAGGCCAGGCTTAGGGAGAAGGCACCCAGGTAGAGTATTCATGAGCCGCATTGAGAGAACTCTCCACTGATTGAGAAAGTAATGGGGAGAGTGTGAAGGAAGGCTACCTGGAACGTTCTCCTAAGTAAATTTATTGTGTCTTGTCTGTCTATCTGTCCCTTTCCCCGTTTCTGCCTCAGTTTCTATCTGTCTCTTCATCTTTGTCCCTTTCTTCATCTCTGTCTCTTGTTTCAATCTTTGTCTCTTTCCGACTGTCTTGGTCTTCCTCTTTCTGTCTATGTCAGTCTCGGATTCTCTCTCCAACTTTGTCCCTCCATTTTCAATTCTGTTCAGTAAGCATGTGCCAAGCACTGTGCATTTTCTCACTCTCTTTCTGTCTCTCTGATAAACAGAAATCTCTTCTCTCTCAAAATCTTACTCAGACACACACACCCTCCTTTACATATGGATGGACGCACACACTAGTGTCTTGCACTTCCTAAATGCACACTCTCATTCCCATTGACTCATTGATATGCATCCTCTCCTAGATGCATATATGCAGCCATAACCACACCTATATTCTCACACATACACTTGCTCACTCTTGGACAGGCATAATGGCTCATGAGATCACAAAGTTAGAGCTCAGAGGGATATTGGAGGCCATGTAAACCAATACCCTCATTTTACAGATGAGGAAACTGAAGCCCATAGAGGTGGCTTGATGACAGTCACATATATGATAGGATTTGAACCCCGGTCCTCTGCTCCCAATATAGTGATTATGGTGATCTTTCCACTATGCCACCATCAGACTTCCCCTCATAGGGATACTCATTCTCTCTGTCTCTGTCTCTCTCTCTCACACACACACAAATATACTATACAACCATACACTCCTGTCTCTCACACACAGATCCCACACCTTCCTCTCTCTGTGTGTGTCTGTCTCCCTCCCTCTCTATCTCTTTCTCTCTTTCTCTCCCTCTCTCAAACACACACACACAAATATACATCTATACACTCCTGTCTCATACACACACAGATCCCATGCCTTTTCTCTCTGTCTCTGTCTCCCTCTCTGTCTCTCTCTCCCTCTCCCTCTCCCACCCCATACAGCCCTTAGTGGCTCTTAAGGGTTCCCCAAGTTCTCTTACCATGAAGCAGCACATAATAGCCAGGCAGATAAGAATGATGGCCCAGTAGGGCAGGTCTGGGGGGAAGAAGAGGTGATGCTGAGGAGTCTGCATGGGGATAAGGGGACAGCACAGGGTGGGTAGTGACTGTCCTTTGGCATTCCCACCCCTGTGGGAAGGGAGGGGACAAAGAGCAATACACAGGGAAGATGGAGGATGGAGGCTGAAGGACCCAACCCAGAGCATCCTCCCACCTCCCATGCCACCAGACATTTGCTCTTCAGAAGAAGCTGACCTAGGAGAAAGGGGGCAGGCAGACTATGGGAGTGAATTTAGAGAAAGAAGCTGGGGTTCAGGACATAGAGAAAAGGAGTTGGGCAAACTGAGGGAAGGCCACTTAAGGCAGAAAAGATGGTTCAGGGACCCCATTGTCAACCTGGGACAAGGGAGGGTGATAGTGCAGAGACCCAATGTCAGAAGAGAGAAATGTGACAGTGATACTGAGTCCTACCCAATGACAAGAGAATGGCTGAAGCTCCAGGGCAGAGAACCTTCCCCATGTCCATCCCCCCAGGGTACTCAGGAAGGGGAGATACACTCAGGGATCTGACAATTGGTAGGGATGACTGCTGTTCATTTGTCTCATGAACACAGTCCAAGACGTGTTGTTGGACACTCAGCATTGAGTGCTGGCTAGGGTGAGAGGAAAGTCATCCTGGACACTCAGTTCCTGCCCTCCCCCCACTCTCCTACTCTTCAAGGATCAGCCTCAGCTCCCCACCCCCCAACACAGACACGTAGGAACGGTCAAGGGGCAAGGCTGTTGTCATACTCACCAGTTTTCTTAGTTTTCCCATCTATTTTCTTGGTAGAATAGCCTGAAGACAGAGAAATATGGAATAAGGGGAGGACACCCATGGGTCTTGATCTGGGGAACTAGACTGGGTGAGGAAGAAGAGGATGAGACAACAAGAGATGGAGAGGCCATGGGGGACAAAGAAACTCTAGGGTCAGGGAGGGAGGAAAGGATATGGGGATCATAGAGACAGATGACTATAGAGGACAGGGATGGCAATGGGGGGCACAGTTGGGGTGGGGAGGAGGGAATACAGGCATCAGGGAATGTGGAGGGAGGATCTTTTGGGCTTCAGATGTCAGGAGTCAAGCATCCCAGGAATTCCTCATCCCTCCCCACAGCCTGTCAGTGTTCGGACAGAGAGACCAGACTGGAGAGCCCCTCACCATCCACCAGGATACTGTTCTGATCCAGGGTGAAGTTCTGTAGCCGAGTGCCATTGTGGGTCAGTCTGAGGAACTCTTCGTACATAGCGGCCCTGTCAAAGTTCCGGGCTTGAGCAGCTGATGTGAAGTCACATAAACAGTCCACTCCTGTGAGGCGTCTGGGAGAGGCAAGCCTAAAGAAGGGAGAGACAAGCCTAAAGAAGAGGGAGGGGTGTCAGTGAATGAGAGAGGAAAAAGGCAGGTGGGGAGGAGAGGACTGGAGCAGCAATGGCCTCAGGGGAGCTGAGCTGGGCCAGGCTGAGCAGGCTTCTGGCCCTGGCAGGAAAACCTGGATGGGGGGCCTCCTCTCACTGCACCTCCCCACCAAAACTAGACTTACTTCTTAAGTGTTTTGTGAATACATGTATCTGGATGGTGAGCTCCTTGAGGACACGGATGGCTTTATTTTTTCTATCTTTTGCCCCATACCTGACACTTTGAGTATGCTACTTCAAACCTTACTGAGCGGCTGATCGCTCGTGTATGTATGTAGATGTACATGTTGTCTCCCTAGACTGTAACCTCTTTGAGGGCAGAGCTGGCTTCATTTGTACATTTCTGTATCTCTATTCCCCAGCACGTGCCCCACAGCTTGGGACATTGTAGGAGATTTATAAATGCTTGTTGATTGGTTGATTAAAGGACGGCTTGGTCTCCCAGGCAGTTTGGTAACATGCTGCTTTCTGTATCTCTGGACCCTTCTCGAGGTGCTGGTTTGAGGCAGCTTTTAGAGGGAAGAAGGGAGTTTGGAGGGAAGGAAAGAGAAGAAGGAAACACCAGCTTCCTGAGGCACACCAGAGAATGGGCTAGAGAGGGATATTGTGTCCTGAACATGGTCTGTTCTGGGAACTGGTCTCCACCAAGAGCTGCTTCCTGTAATTGTGGGGGTGAGAAGCTAGACAGAGAAGTGGAGTCCTAGACAGAGTTGTCCCTGGGGAAAAACCTCACCTAAAGGTCTGCACGTGACAGTCAGAGAAATAGCTCTTGATACTGCTGTTTCTGAAGAGCTGGGTCAGCTGTAAGAAAAAGGAACATTTCCTGGAATGTGATCCTCAGGGCACATTGTGCCCAGAAAAAAAAACTTAAAATCTTTTCTGAAAAAAAAAAAATCACGCTACAGGGCTAGCATCTCCATCTGGTAGATACGCCCAGGTGGACCTAGATGAATGCAAGAGATGGACTGAGCTCACCTTTCTGGGTACCAGGGACCATCCTAGGTACACAGAGCCCCCCTCCCTCCCCCTTCCCAAGTGTCTAAAAGTTTTCTAGAAAGGGCCTTCCTTTCCTGTTTCAGGTTCAAATCACGCATTTGAGAAATTAACAGGTGATCTAGAGTAAATCTGAACCCCTTTCAGGCAGCATCTGTAATCTGTAATTATATATCATGTAATCTGAAGGGGCTGGCTTAATGGTGTCCCCAGTCACTTCACTCTCTTTATGCTGTCCTTTGTATCTATTCCTTTCCTTTCCTCTCCTCTCTGCTGTCTTTTCTCCTGCCCCCTTAGAGGTAGTGTGGCATACCTAGGTTCAAGGAAGACCTGGGTTTGAGTTCCTTCTGGGACATGCTGGTTATGTGATGCTAGGCATATCATAGTATCCTAAATGTAGAGCTGGAAGGGACCTTCAAGGATATGAAGTCCAACTCCCGTATTTTACGATGAGGAAACCGAGGCTAGGAGGTTAAGTGGCTTGCTGGGGGTCACAAGCAAATGTCTTAGACAGGATTTGAACTCCAGTCCTCCTGATTCCAAATTCAGCACACTACCTGGCCCTGGCTGTTTCACGAACAGGCAACCCCCTATAAGTTGCAGCTTACATATTGGTCTTTTGGTAGAGGGAATCACTTCACTGGGACATTTCTTTATCAATGAAATCATAGGTCGGTAAAAATAAATAAATAATCCTAGTTTTAAAAACAAAACAAAACAACCCCCCCATCATACCTCACCATCCCCACAGGCCTGTGTGTTGCTCTCCTGACCCCACCCTCTTAAGAGAGTCTTTAAACTGAAATTTCTTCCCACTTAGTCTCCAGGGAACAGAGTGGATGGAAGTTGTCCAGGATTCTGCTGAAAGCCTGATGTGAAAGCCCCACGCTCTGGGGGACAGTCAGGAAGAGCACGCTTGGAGATCCCTGCTTGGGTCCTTCCTACAGCTCTTGGGACTAGACCTTACCGCATCTTCAATGCCATTTTTGTTCTCTTGATACTTGGCTGAGTCAGGGTGTGACAAGTCCAGGGAATAGAGCACGCTGGTGACAGTGAAGTTCAATTGGAAGTGTCGGGGCCTGGGTCAATCAGTGGCTTAGCTGTAGACAGTGGGGTGGCTGCTTCCAGTTCTGGGGAAAGAACAAAGAAAAAGATGATTGATGATGATGATGATGATGATGATGGGGCCCAAGCTGGGAGAGGCCACAGAGAGGTCATACAGGCCAGAGTCCCCTTCCTTCCCCAGGGACAGAAAGGTGGCTGGCCCTTTTCTCTGGCTCAAACCCTGACCTTCTAAGATAGATGGTACCAGCATCCATTTCAGGAGGCCAGGTAGCAGCCGACTGCTCCCAGGAAAGTCTGGTGAGTTAGAACCACAGACAGAGGGTCACTTAAGAGTTGGTCCCCTCATTTTACACGTGGAAAAGATGAGGTGCAGTGAGGTTTGTTCATCAGATCTGAGACCTTCTTGTAAGCCTTATGATGACCTTTCCCAGGATGCCTTCTGCATTGTGTGAACTCCAAACATTCCCAACAGGATTAGCTCCCAGGTATAAAATGCACCTTGGGAAGCCCAGCTCCATGTTGCCTCCTCTGGGAAGGCTCCCTGAATTCCTCATGCCAGGAATAGACAGTCCCCTAGGACCTCACAGGGCTCTCTGTTATGCCTGTATCTAATGCATTTATAATGCAATAGTCTGTATTATCCCCAGGCAACTCCCCAAATCACATAAGTCTCAAGAGGGTGAAAAATCTGCATTGGCAGAGGAAGCTTTTCTGCCAAGTGCTCTGTTCATGCATGAAATCCCAAACCTGCCTCACCTCTTACCACTGCCTTCTGTTATCCCCTTGGGAGGCCATGTGGGTGAAGAAGACTCTGAAGCTGGCTTCAGAGCCAGGAAGACCTGGGTTCCAATCCAGCCGCTTCTGGTTGACCCCGGGCAAGTCCCTTTACCTCTCAATGTCACTCTCTACCAGTCTAAAGCATATATTAATATGCACTGGTAAAGGGAGTTCCCTCAGTGGAGTTCTCTGTGCCTATGAAATCCCAGGTGAAGAGAGGAGAGGAAAGGAAAGGAGAGGAGAGGAGAGGAGAGGAGAGGAGAGGAGAGGAGGGAGAGGAGAGGAGAGGAGAGGAGAGGAGAGGAGAGGAGAGAGGAGAGGAGAGGAGAGGAGAGGAGAGGAGAGGAGAGGAGGGAGAGGAGAGGAGAAGAGGAGAGGAGAGGAGGAGGGAGAGGAGAGGAGAGGAGAGGAGAAGAGGAGAGGAGAGGAGAGGAGAGGAGAGGAGAGGAGGAGAGGAGAGGAGAGGAGAGGAGAGGAGAGGAGAGGAGAGGAGAGGAGAGGAGAGGAGAAGAGGAGAGGAGAGGAGAGGAGAGTAAAGGAGGGAGAGGTGGGGAGAGGAGGGGAGAGGAGGGGAGAGGAGGGGAAGTGGAGAAGAGAGGAGGGGAGAAGAGAGGAGGGGAGGGGAGAGGGGAAGAGAGGAGAGGAAAGAAGAATGCATAGTATGATTTTGCATATTTATACCTATACATCTATGTCTTTCTCTAGTGGGTGGTGGAAGGGAAGGAGACAGTTAGTTACAAACTTAAAATGTAAGAAAAAATAAATTTTAAAAAAGAAAGAAAAGGAAAGGAACAAGCATTTATTAAGCACCTGTTATGTGCTAAACGCTTTCAAAATACTACCTCATTTGAGATGCTAAATCAATGTTTTGTAAATGAAAGAAGTTTGAACATCCACAGAGGAACAGAGAGAAAGGGGGAGCCTAAAGGGGCAGATGGGGACAGGGTATGTGTGTTCTCTAGCCCTTTGGGGCCTCCACTTTGGCTTCAGGGATGACTTCGTTGCTGGGACTCTCAGAAGGCATGTGGAAAGAGAAGGTTCTGTCCTGAACAGGCTCCACGGCCAGCTTCTCATCTGGGGCTGGGGGAGTGTAGGGGTGGTCTGGAAGTCTAATTGTTTTTTCCCAGATCTGACACAAACTCTCGATGACTTTGGACAGAGTCACATCTGCTCACTGGATCTCAGTTTGCTCAATCACAAAATGACAGTGTTGGAGTATCTGAGGCCCTTCCCAAATCGAACCTTCTACATTCTGTATGCTAGGGCTCCTCCAAACTGACATCCTGGGTTCTAAGGGCCCTCCCAGCTCTGACATCCTGGGTTCTAAGGGCCCTCCCAGCTCTGACATCCTGGGTTCTAAGGGCCCTCCCAGCTCTGACATCCTGGGTTCTAAGGGCCCTCCCAGCTCTGACATCCTGGGTTCTAAGGGCCCTCCAGCCTCTGATAATTTCTGTTCTAAAGGCTCTCCCAGCTTTGACTTTTTAGGTTCTAAGAACGTTCCTATTTCACTCATGTTATGCCTTATATTCTAAGGAACTTCCTAGCTCAACACTGTTTCAATCCCATAAGTGTTCACTTCACCCCCATTTCCTGGGGTACAAGCTTCCCAAGTGCTTTCTTCAGCTTCTGTTTGCCATGAGCCCCCTTCCCATCGCCCATCCCCACTGCAGCTTCCTCTCCCCTACACCCCAGCCATTCAGGCCCCCATACTTGTCACTTGGAGGTTATCCAGCTTATAGGAGTCCCTGAGCCAGTGGGCTGTGGTCCTGGGTCCTGTCCAGAAACACTTGTCCAATGGTGTCAGGATCCAGGTTGGAGGAGAAGCTGCAGTTGCAGGTGACATACACAGAGCCCATCCTATGGACCAAGATTACAGGGCATTTGGTCAGAGGCCTGGTACAGATGGGACCCGGCTGCCCATCCCACTGTGGCCTTGGTCAATAGCCCTGTGGTGAGTTGAGGAGGTTTTCTGCCCGTAGCCCAGGAGGCAGGGTGCAAGGAGTCCGCAAAACCTCTGAGATCAGTTGATCAATCAACTAGCATTTACTGAACACCTACTGTGTGCAAGGTACTCTTCTGGGCACTGGGGAACCATCCACCTAATGGCAGGGAAAGATCTCTCCTCTAGTGTTCCTGCAGGTCGCTTTTTCTCTCCTCTGCTCAAGCAGCAGCAGCTCTGATT